CGGGGGCCCAGGTCCTGGGTGCTGGCACTGAGGGTCCGCGAGGCCTCGCTCAGGTGCTGCCTGGGGAACTGGGGACAGGCGGGGGGGTGAGGGCGGGACACAGGGCTGCCGCAGCGCAGCGGGGCTACGCCACCAGCCCGCTTGTCTGCCTGTCCTCCTGCATCTGCCCAAATAAAACCCATCGTGCTCACATCTGGATGTCCATTCCAATGCCAGCCTGACCATCCCCCCGGCCTCTGGGTCTGTCCCATCCCTGATCCAGGGTCCCCTCACCTGGTTCTCAGGCACCCTTGAGCCATCCGTGTTCAGCATGCTGAGCGACATGGCCCTCTTCATCCTGCCCAGGAACAGGGCGGCACCAGTGAGTCTGGCTCCCACCCTGGGAGACTCGGGCACCGGGCTTGGTGTGTGTCACAGGGGAGACGGGAGCCACGCACAGTCCTCAAGCAGGACACGGGGAGGGGGAGGACTCACCCAGCCGTCCCCGCCGCCCCCTCGCCTCGGAGTCGGGAGACCAGCTTCTCGCTTCCGCGCCGGATGGACTCCCGGAGCTTAGAGAAGGAGCTGCTTCGACGAAGGGTCTGGGGAGGGCGCCGGGGACACTGGTCAGCCTCCTCTGCCACCCGGGCCCCCCTTCCCCTGGGAGCCCGCACAAAGCCCTCCTCACCTGCTGCTGTGCGTCACCGGCGGTGCCTGTGTTGGGGGCTCCTGGGGACAGATGGGGACATTGTGGGGGGGAAGCTGAGCAGCCCCCGGGGCAGGGGAGGGGCCGGGGGCTCACCGAGCGGGGCGGGCAGGGCCTCCCTGCGGAGGATCTCTTTGTACAGCTCTTCCGCCTGCTGGTACTTGTTCTGCTTCAGGTAGGCTGAGGCCTGCGGGGAGGGCACGGCCTGAGTGATCCTGGCTCATCTAGACGCTGCACCCGGCACCTCCTTCCTGGCCCCCCAGGAAGCAGCCCAGCCTTGCCCGGCACTCCAGGCCCCCGGCCACCTGCAGAGTGGGCTTGGAGCCCGAGCCCACCGCTTCCCACAGGGCAGGTGACCTGCTGGCTCTGAGCAGGGGCCTGCTCCCCACTCCACCGTGAGCCAGCGACAGCCCTCTCTCTGCCTCAGCTTCCTCATCTGCACAGTGGGGCAGTGGGAGCACTTACCTTGCAGGGCCCTTGAGAACACGGTCCAGGCAAAGTCCTGAGAAGGGGGCCTGGCTCAATAAACGCTCTCTGCTTCTGGCCAGTCTCTCCGGCCTCCTCTCTGCCCGGAGCTGTTCTCTGGCCCCCACCAGCCTGCCAGTTTCCCGACCCTTCCATGTCCTCTGAGCTGGGGAGCCTCACTGGTGTGGAAGCCCTGCCCCATGGGGCACCCTCAAGGGCTGGGCAGAGGTGGGGCCCCTGTTCTCTGCAGGGCAAGGCCCCCTCAGATAATGGGTGCTTGCCTGGTGCTGGGGCCCCAGGACCAAGCCCCCGAGCCCCCAGAGGCCCTCACCAGGTTGTTCTTCGTCTTGGCCACATTGGGGTCGTGGGGCCCGCCCAGGGCCTCGTAAATGCTCAGGGCCCGGGCGTAGTGCCGCTCCACCTCCTCGAACTTGCCCTGGTTCTGGCAGAGCAGGGCCAGGTTGTTGAGCTGCTTGGCCACATCCGGGTGGTCGGCGCCCAGGACCTAGGGGTCACGGGGTCACAAGTCATCTGGGGGTGGCGGGCCACGTGTTGCCAGCAGCCGTCATGACGAGGCTCATGAGTTGGGAGCTGGAGTCAAGGGTGGTGAGTCAGGGGACTGGGCACTCGAGGTTCAAACTGGTTGCAGGTTCACATCACATGGGAAAGGACACGAAAGGTCGGGGGTCACGAGAACAAGTCAGGGTCATGCCAGAGCCACAGAGTCGAGCGCTTCAGGATCAGAGGGGAAGGGCCGTGTGGGATGGGGGCCCCGCAGGAGCCAGGCTGGGCAGTACCTTCTCCCGGATCTCCAGGGCACGCTGGCACAGGGGCTCTGCCTCCCGGTAACGCCCGCGCTTCCCGTAGAGGACGGCCAGGTTGTTGAGGGTGGCGGCCACCTGTGGGGTGAAGAGGGGGTCAGGGGTGGGGAGGCCCAGCCCACAGCCCCCCGCCCTCCCCCACGGGCCCCCACTCACCGCAGGGTGCTCGGGGCCCAGCGTCTGCTCCCGGATCTGCAGGGCATCGTGGAGCAGGTCTGTGGCCTCTTTGTACTTGTTCTGGTCTCTGTGGAGCAGCCCCGGGGGCAGGGGATTAGGCTGAGGCCCTGGGCTGGGCTGACGCTGGCAGGCCAGGAGCTGGCTGAACTGAGTGTGGGTGGCATTCCCCGGGGGTCCCTTCTGGGTGTCCCCACACCTCCCAGATCTGGCACGGGGTCCCTACATGCCCAGGTGGCTGCCAAGCCTCTGCCGCCCCAGGCCTCCGCCCCACTCTGTTGGGGGTCTCTTGCCCACACTGACTCCTCTGCCCGAGTCTCGGTGGTCTCTCCAGATCTCCATCCCCTTCCGCCCCACCCCTGCAGGTACCCTGTGCTGTAGAGCAGGACACCAGGGCTCCCCACTTCTGCCCAACAACATCCCCCATCCCCCCTCCAGCGGCGGCAGCCCCCACCGGTACACCAGCGCCAGGATGTTGAGCATGGTGGCCACGTCGGGGTGGCAGTGGCCCGAGCTCCGCTCCAGGTCCTCCAGGGCCTGCCGGCACAGCGGCACAGCCACCTCGTAGCGGCCCTGGCTCGCGTACTGGATCACCAGGTTGTGCAGAGTCCGGAGGCGGGCCGGGATCTCATAGCCACCCTGCTGGGCTGCCGCGGCCCCCGCTGCCTCTGGACCTGGGGGTGCGTGCGGGGCACCGAGTCACTGCAGGCCTCCTGCTTCCCCAGCCCACACAGAAGGGGACACATGCCCCCCCAAAGCCACCGCTGCCTCGCTGGCCCCTGGGACCACGGGCCCCTGCACTGGCTCCTGAAATGGGAATCCCAGGCCTCTCACTGGCCCGAAGGAGGGGGCCTGGCCTGTGGGATGGATGCATGGCAGCCGCCGGGTTTCTGGCACTATGGTCACCATGACAGGCCTGGTTTCCAGCTTTTCTAGCCTCACCTGCCCCCTGTCACCGCCCCCCCGCCCAAACACCCACAGCCACCTGCTTCACCCTCCTGACACCCAGCCCTGACCTGCCCCATCCTCCCCAGTGACCTCAGGGTCCAGCGACTCAGACGCCCCCTCCCCAGCCTCGGCCACCTGTCCTCCATGGCTGAGCCCCGCACCCACCTCTCCGTTCCTCCTCCTCACTGGGGAACAGGGAGGCCAGGCTGTCCCGGCGAGGGGGGGACTCGGGCTGCTGCAGAGAGAGGAGGAAAGTGGGGCATCATGGGGCTTTGGAGTCTGACTCCGAGATAGGGGTCGTCCTGAATCCCAGGGTTGGAGGGAGGTGGTGGGCAGGGGTCCCGGGGGCCTCCTGAGGGCTTGCGGAGCATCCTGGGCTTTGTGGGGCAGTTGGGCTTGGGGCGGGCTTCTGAGTAAGTTCCAGTGGGTCTAGGATTTGTGAGGGGGTTCTTCGGAGGTTCCAGGGAGGCCAGGGAACCTTTGAAGGTGGGGGCTCTGCAGAGGGTCAGGGGGCCCCGCCTCGCCGGCCCAGCCGCACCTGGCTCTCCGCAGGCGGGTCGTACTGCCGCAGCTGCCCCAGGAACTCCAGGTGGCTCTTCTCCTCCTCCAGCTGGGCCACGGCCTCCTCGCTGGCCCGCAGCCGCCGCTGTGTCTCCTCCAGCTCCTCCCGCAGCCACGCGTTCTCCTGGGCCAGCCGCCGGGCCTGCGCCCGCAGCCGCTGCTTCTCCGCCTCCAGCGCGCCCACGTGTGCCGACAGCGCCAGCAGCACCTGCCAGGGGGGCGGCAAGTCAGAGGCCTGGCCCCAACCCTGCCAGATGGCCCCCGACCCAGCCCAGGGCCTCAAATCAAGCCAGAGCACCCCCTTCTCCCCAGGGTCCCCCAGATTACAGAGAGCCCTCCGATGTGGCTCCAGGGATGCTTAGCGAGTCCCAGGGTTACAGCCCAATTCTGCTGGGGGAACCCCTCCCTCCCATTTCACCCAGACACACAGATCACACACAGGGACACGTCATATCCCACCCGGGCACCCCCGAAGTGTGCCCAGGACCCACCCTTCTATGGAAGGACCCCACCTGGTTCAGGGGTCCCTGTCACACAGAAGGAAACCCCCACAACTGCAGGTTAGGGATCCCATCTCGGGACTAGAGGCTCCCTGTCCCGGGCCGAGTGCCCCTAGGCCCCCCTTTCGCCAAGACCATCCTCCAGCACTCCTGGCCCCTCACCCCTGGGCAACCCCCCAGGCCTGAGCCACACCACCGCAGACAGCGCGCCCCTCACACCTACCTGGGCCTCGCCCAGCCCCAGCTCGATGGCCTCGAGTGAGTGGCTCACCACCTGCTGCTTCTCTTCCAGCAGCTCCAGGCCAGCCGCCGGGCCCTGGGCCGCCAGGGCCTCCGCCAGGTGCCCAGCCAGGCCCCGGTGCTCTGCCCGCAGGGCCTCCAGCCCCTTCACCACTTGCCGCGTCTGCCGCACCAGCTCCTCGGGGCTTGGGCGCTCCAGGCCCAGCCCCACACCTCCCGGGGCTGCCACCTGCACGGACATGGCTGCTCCTGGGGGTGACCGGGGCCAGGGTGCAGGGTTGCTGGTCACTGCCGGGGCCGGGCAAGCCCGCCCCTCGGCCTCCGTGTTGCTGGGTTGCACGGCCCCTCCCAGCCATCACCCCACCTGCCCATCCCAGCCAGCCCTCTGCCTCCATGCTCTCCTCACTGTAGCCAGCAACCTGTCCCACGCCCATCCTGCCGAGCCCGCAGCTGGAGACTTTCTGGTTTCCTTCGCCTGTTCTCAGCGCCGGGGCCCGGCCGTGAGGACAACTCCCAAACCTTCCCATGTGGAACTAACCCAGGCGACCAAGCAGCCATCCCGCGGCCGCCCACCTGCCCTCAGCTCACCTGGTCAGCCCTCCCCACCCCAAGGACCCCGGATGCCCGTCCTGGCCGGCCCGGCTGTGTGACCTGGACTGGAGGTGCCCTCCCCGGCTGGGCGTGTGGGGCGGGACGTGTGGAGGCGGCAGCCTCTCCGTGAGCTCACTCTCAGGGTGTTTTTGTTGGGAACCAGTCAGACAACTGCGGGTGGGGTGGGGCGGAGCAGAGGGCCACGGGGCTGGGGTGCAGGAAGCCGAGGAGGCCTGGGGAGGTCAGGGAGGGTCCCCACGTGTGGCGATTCCTGGGGACCCGAAGAGCTGACAGACCAGAGGAAACCATCTCCACCCTCCACTGCAGACAGGCCCGGCCAGCCCCAGGCGTGCTGGGACACACATGTGGCCCAGGGGAGTCACACAGGCCGTGTGACAGCTGAGGATCTGAGTCCCAGACGGTAATGGGTGGGGGGGGAGGGTCTCACACGTGGGACGCCATGGGGTTGTATGGGGGTGACAAGGTCAACAACACTGGGGACGATGTCTCTGGGACACACACACACACTCTCCTCTGAGAAACGGACCTCAACACACGCACACCCTCCCTTCTTAAAACCACGCTGTACACATTCTCCTCTTGGATATATGACACATACGCTTCCTTATTTCAAATATAAAACAAGACATACTCTCAGAAATATGCCTCTACATGCACTCCATCTCAGAAATACAACAATACACATTCTCCTTTCAGAAATACAACACACACACACTTTCTTTTAAAAATGCAACTCAACACACCCACTCACATCCGCGTTTTCTTTTCAAAATACAACCTACTACAACACACTAACTCAGGCGCGCACACACACATATATTCTTCTTTCAGAAATAGCATATGTAGGAACTTTCCTGGTGGCTAAGACTCCATGCTCCCAAAGCAGGGGGCCCGGGTTCGATCCCTGGTCAGGGAACTAGCTCTCACATGCTGCAACTAATGATCCCGGGTGTTGCAATGAAGACCCGGCACAGCCAAACAAATAAACAAACATTAAAAAAAAAAAAGAAAACAAACAACACACATACACTCCCCTCTGAAAAACACAACCCAACACACAGGTACATTTTCCTTTCAGAAATAAACGCCATGGGCTTCCTTGGAGGCTCAGTGGTAAAGAATCCGTCTGAGAATGCAGGAGACACAGATTCAATTCCTGGTCCGGGAAGATCCCACATGCCGCAGAGCAATAAGCCGGTGCCTCATGGCTACTGAGCGTGCAGTCTAGAGCCCGGGAACTGAAACTATGGAACCCAAGCGCCTAGAGCCTGTCCTCCGCAGCAAGAGAACCCACCGCGACGAGAAGCCCACACACCACAACTAGAGTGGCCCACGCAGCAAGGAAGATCCAGCACAGCCAAAAACAAATAAAACTATAAAAGAAAAAGAGAAATAAAATGCCAGACAGAAAAGAAACATATGGTTACCAAAGGGGGCAGGGGGTGGGGAGGGATAAATTAGGGGTTTGGAATTAACATATACTTATGTAAAATCAATAACCAACAAGAATCTACTGCATAGCACAGGAAACTATCCTCAATATATTATCATAACTTACAGCGGAAAACAATGTGAAAAATAAAGATAAAATACAACCGAATCACTTTGCTCTACACCTGAAACTAACACAATGCTCTGAATCAATAAAAATGTAAAAAATAAAAGCCAACACACAAATAAACCGTCTCCTCCCTCACCCCTCTTGACTTGCGAAAATGTAACTAAATCCCAAATCAGTCCCGTTCGGACTGTCTCCTTGAACGTTTGGCCGTGACACATACCCTCTCCCACACCCCCACACCCCGCTGCAGCCAGCCCTCCCTCCCACGCCTGCCTCCCTCGCCGGCTCCCAGGACTCATGGTGGACCTGTCATCACTCCTCCAGGCTTCCTCCACCGCCCCTGCCCGGCCAGTCGGGGACTCGCACACACAGACACACTAGAGTTTCACACACGAAAAGTGCGAATGACCTGATGCTGGCTCTTCCACCTTCACAAGCGGGTGCCCACGGCGCAGATGGCGGTGGAGGCACACAGAGTTCCATGTTTTCCTGCACAGACTCGCAGGCTGACTTCACTCCGGCCATGGCATCCCCTAAAGCAGCCCAGCGCTTTCTGCACCTGGGCACATGCTCACAATCACATCCACTCAGACACAGAGTAAGGGCAGGTGTGTAACCTTGTGGGTTTTATACACAGCAGGCTCTCCACCCCCAATCTCCTTCTTTCCCTATCTATATGTTTTCACGCACCTGTCAATCTCTGTGTAAGCTGTACGTGTGTGTACATACATCACATCATACTAACAGCTTCACACCTTACACACAAGTCCTATAAATGATCAAACTCACAACCATACCAGTTCATTGAGTCATCTTGACAACCACGACCCTTATTCATGTATACAACCACCTACAACATCACACACAAACTTAAACAGCTGAGTCGACTGTTCAAGACACGGCCTCATAGAGTACCACTCACAGCGACACGCACAGCTCGACCACAGCCACGCATCACTCGGACTGTGTCCTTGACACGTCTCCCACACTCACACCTCCTCCAAGCAGCACACTCCCCTCCACCTGCTCAGCCTGGTGCGCATGAGCACACAGCTGACCACGATAATCACAGTCACACTCCACACAACCATCCCGTACCCCACAGCACACACCTCCCTGCCATTCCCCCTAGTCTTACCGTCAGAGAGACAACCACGGCCACGCAATTTCTTGGTCACATATCGAATCCTATAAACAGTTCAACTCTCTGCCAAACACACACACACACACACACACACAGCATTACAGACTCACCATCAGAGGTCGCCCACATTTTCAGACCACTGAAAGTTTCACATCATTCACACAGTCCTTCGGTGCCCCCCAGGGCTAAACGGACAGGCCATCTCCTGTACCAACCTGTACCCACACCTGTACGCACCGTTTGACACCATCACACACACCTGAGCTTCTTACACCATCTCTCGTGCACAGTCACGCTCAATCTCCACACACATATACACTTGCAGGCGGGAGTGTATGGCCCGCTCCCCAAACCACCCAACTTACCCCTGGCCAGCCGTCTGAGCCCCGCGCACCCCGGTTTCACAGCCCGCCAGCCTGCCAGCCGGCCGGGCCGTCACAAGGGCCCCCACCCTCTCCTAGGCCCCACCCCGTCCTCGCGCCTGTTTACCTGCGCCCCGAGAGAGGGGGCGCGGTCCCAGCGGGGCCTCCAGACCCAGGGAGCCCTAGGGCGGGACAGGGGGCGTCCAGGGACCCCAAGGCCCGTCCCCGTCTCCAGGCCAGCGGTCCCAGGGGTGTGCCAGGCCCAGCCCACACCCTCTGCCCCCGCCTCCATCCTCTCGGCTCCCGGGACTCCCACCTCGCACTCCCGGCGCCCACCTGACCGCGGACGGCTCCAGGTGCCGCTTCTCCGCGCTGCGCACGCACGCCCGCCGCCCGCAGCTGCGCCCGGAGTCTCCGGCCACGGGCGGCTCCTCTGGGGGGCGGGTCGGCCTGGAGCCCCGCCCCGCAGGTGAGACCGGCCCCGCCCACCGCTCCTGGAAAGTAAAGCCCAGCCGCCCCAGCGCCGCGGGAAGAGCAGAGCCTGTGCGCGCGTTTAGCTGGTAGTCTCTGCGGCACGTCGAATCCGAGATGATGGCAGGCGCGCAGGAAATGAGAGTCTCCGCGAAACTAGAATCTTGGAAACTCGGAATCTTAGAAACTTTGCATCCCAGAAGGATGGTCTTCTTGCAAGGCCAGCCTCCGGCCCTTCGCCTCGGCTGTGCGCCCGCTTTGGACATCTCACCACACATATCTCGACGTTTGTCCTTTTTTCAAAGGCCGTTTCCTCTGAGAGGCCTTCCTCGCCATTTCTAAACTACACCCTTCCCACCGAAACGCAATCTCATTTCTCTGCTTGATTTTGTTAATAAAATTTTTCAGTACCTAAAATTATGTAACATTATAATTACTATGTTATGTTACATCACGTTATTGGCAAGGCTAAAGATTGGGCTCTGAGTTCACATCCTATTTCACCATTTACTGGCTGTGCAGGCTTTGGACAAGTAACTTAACCTCTCTGTCTCTGTTTCCCTAATCTGTAATAAATTAATCAAAGGCTGAGAGGACTAAATGCCTTAATATATGGATTGGAAGCATTTAGCAAATATTAGCTGCTGATTTTGTGGTGTTATATTATTGGTTCGGCTTTCCAAGTGGTGCTAAAAAAAAAAAAAAAAAACCCGCCTGTCTACACAGGAGATATAAGAGACGCGAGTGTGATCCCTGGTTTGGGAAGATCCCCTGGAGGAGGGCATGGCAACCCACTCCAGTATTCTTGCCTGGAGAATCCCAAGGACACAGAAGCCTAGCAGGCTATAGTCCTTTGGGTCACAGAGAGTTGGACACGGTTAAAGCAACTCAGCACATACGCATTATTGTTCTCCCCCAGGGAAAGGTGTATGTCAAGGTTATATATTGTCATCTTGCATATTTAACTTGTATACAGAGTACATCATGCAAAATGCTGGGCTGGATGAAGCACAAGCTGGAATCAAGATTGCTGGGAGAAATATCAATAACCTCAGATATGCAGATGACACCACCCTTATGGCAGAGAGTGAAGAGGAACTAAAAAGCCTCTTGATGAAAGTGAAAGAGGAGAGTGAAAAAGTTGGCTTAAAGCTCAACATTCAGAAAACTAAGATCATNGACTCTTAGGAGTCCCTTGGACTGCAAGGATATCCAAGCAGTCAGTCCTAAAGGAAACCAGTCCTGAATATTCATTGGAAGGACTGATGCTGAAGCTGAAGCTCCAATATTTTGGCCACCTGATTCAAAAGCTGACTCATTAGAAAAGACCCTGATGTTGCAAAAGATTGAGGGCAGGAGGAGAAAGGGATGACAGAGGCTGAGATGTTTGAATGGCATCACCGACTCAATGGACATGAATTTGAGCAAGCTCCGGGAGATGGTGAAGGACAGGGAAGCCTGGCATGCTGCAGTTCATGGGGTCACAAAGAGTCGGACACCACTGAGCGACTGAACAACAACCCCTAGAATGCCAGCTCCCTTCGGGCAGGGCTCTGTATTGTAAGCACGTTATCCTTAGCATTAGAACAACGTGGCGCAAAGTAGGTGCTCAATAAATATCTGTTGCGTGACTTACTCAATAAATCAAGTCCTAGAAACACAAATTAGCGAAAGCTACGCGCACGGGATTTTAGCATCATCGCCAGCTTTGCGGTATCCCGGTCACTGCACTATAGGATGTCTCCAGCAGAGGGCGCTGTTGGCCCGTGGACCAGACACCAGACTATCGCGCCGCTCTCCTGTTCTCCGAGCCTCAATGCAGATGCCCTCTCTCATCTCTCGCTGGAGGAAACGACCTTCCTGGGCTCCTGCGACCGTCTGGGCTCCCACATTGCAACCTTGCCCACTCTAGGTCATCACATGTCTCTCTCCCTTGCGGTGACTGGAACACCAGGAGGGTTGACAGAGCCAAGGCACATTCCCCAGCACAGCCTGAACCCGAAGAAGGCACTCGGGACAATGGCTGTTGATTGACTGCTGGAAAATAAAATCCAAACTCAAGCTCTTAGTTCTCCAGGTATGTCTAGGGAACAGGGTGGAAGAGGGCAGCTGAGCCCTTGTCCCCGATTGTTCTGGCCTCAGGACACTGGACACTGGTTCTGGAACCAGCGTTTGGCAACACGCTCACTCTGAAGCAGTGCACGGCGTGGAGTGGAGTCAGATGGTTTAGGGCACATCCTCACTCCGTCAGTTGTTGACTGTGTAATCCCTGAACCAGGAGCTAAGCTCTCTGGTCCCCACGGTCCTGGTCTGTAGAAATGGACTCACAAGGGTAACCTATTTTGTGAGGCTGGTGTGGGGATTAATGAGTAATCCCTGTAAAAGGCGACAGAGCCTACTCGTCACAACTACTGAGTCCGCGTGACACAACTGGAATCCTCACACTGCAACGAAAGATCTCGCATGACACAACAAAGGCCCAATGCAGCCAAATAAATAAATAAATAAAAATAAACATGAAAAAAAAGTGCTGTCAGAAGGATGCTCAGAGAGAACAAAAGATTACAGAGTGAAAAGTAGGTCTTTGTCTCTCTTTGATCCCCAGATACTCTTCCAAGAAGCAGACATGATTCAATTCAGTTCAGTTCAGTTGCTCAGTCGTGTCCGACTCCTCGATACCCCATGGACTACAGCACACCAGGCCTCCCTGTCCATCACCAACTCCTGGAGTTAACACAAACTCATCTCCATTGAGTTGGTGATGCCATCCAACCATCTCATCCTCTGTCGTCCCCTTCTCCTCCTGCCCCCAATCCCTCCCAGCATCAGAGTCTTTTCAAATGAGTCAGCTCTTCGCATCAGGTGGCCAAAGTACTGGAGTTTCAGCTTCAGCATCAGTCCTTCCAATGAACACTCAGGACTGATCTCCTTTAGGATGGACTGGTTGGATCTCCTTGCAGTCCAAGGGACTCTCAAGAGTCTTCTCCAACACCACAGTTCAAAACCATCAATTCTTCAGGCTCAGCTTGCTTCACAGTCCAACTCTCACAACCATACATGACCACTGGAAAAACCACAGCCTTGACGAGATGGACCTTTGTTGGCAAAGTAATGTCTCTGCATTTTAATATGCTGTCTAGGTTGGTCATAACTTTCCTTCCAAGGAGTAAGCGTCTTTTAATTTCATGGCTGCAGTCACCATCTGCAGTGATTTTGACAGACATGATTACCAGTTTCTAATATCCTCCTGAGCTAGTGCACCAGAAATGAATTGTGTATGACTGAGTGTCAGTGACCATTTAAGAAAAACGAAAATGAGAAAAACCTGACCCCCGGAGGGTCCTGATGGCTTTGACTTTGGGTGTGGCGACTTGCTTTGGTGAATCTCAGAGGAGCACAAGTGACAGTCCTCCCAGTTCTGAGCTTAGATCTCAGGGACTTTGAAGATTCCCTCTTGCGTCCAGGTGGAGGCATGACATAGCCCCTGTGTGTTCCCTCTTACCACAGCATCTCCATATTGCTAAAAGATAAACTGAGGCATGTTAACATTTTATTGAGTTTACTTAAAATCGATTCAAATCAAGTGGCACCCAACCCAGCAGACAGAAAGGAGCTTTGAGTAACTAAACAAAATGGAAGACTCTTATAGGAGGAAGGGAGAAGGAACGAAAGCTCCTGGAACAACAAAGCAGGCAAACAAGCAGACTGGTTATTGTGAGGTCGCTTTCCTTTAGGGACGGCAGGCACCTGTCTGGGCAGATTACCTAACTAGAGCTGATCTGAGTGGCTGGTTTAAGATTCAGTCTCCAGGAGAGACGCAACTGTCATTAAGCCTTGATTTTATGACATGGGTCTTAGCATTTTGAGCCTGTTGTCTCATTTTTAACATAATGGTATGGAACAAAGCTTCCCAGTTGCACCCAGCCCAAAATAACCAACTCTTAGCCAGCCCCACATCTGCTTTTAAGCTCCTGCATTTTGGGGTGGTGTGTTTCACTATATTTTTGTGGTAATAGGTATATATATATAATTTCCCTCACTTAGGTGGCTTCCCTTGTGGTTCAGATGGTAAACAGTCTGCCTTCAATCCAGGAGACCCTGGCTTGATCCCTGGGTCAGGAAGATCCCCTGGAGAAGGGAAGAGCTACCCACTCCAGTGTTCTTGCCTGGAGAATCCCATGGACAGAGTAGCCTGGCGGGCTAAAGTCCATGGGGTTAAAGTCTGTGGGGTTGTATAGAGTCAGACACAACCGAGAGACTAACACTTTCACTTTAGCAATAGATCTCTGGTATTATGATCTGCGGGCTTCCCTGGTGGCTCAGTGGTAGAGAATCTGCTTGCCAATGCAGGAGACCCGGGGTTGATCCCTGGGTTGGGAAGATCCCTTGGAGTGGCAACCCACTCCAGCATTCTTGCCCGGAGAATCCCATGGACAGAGGAGCCTGGTGGGCTAAAGTCCATGGGGTTGCAAAAGAGTCAGATATGACTTAGCGACTAAACAACAACAAATAACAATGATT